CCCTCCCTTGCTCCCTCTTTTCCTTCCCTTTCTTCTTCCTTCCTCCTTCCCTTCCCATCTTCCTTCCCTCCCTTGCTCCCTCTTTTCCTTCCCTTTCTTCTTCCTTCCTCCTTCCCTTCCCATCTTCCTTCCCTCCCTTGCTCCCTCTTTTCCTTCCCTTTCTTCTTCCTTCCTCCTTTCCCTTTCCCTTAAAACGGGCAGCTATAGTATCAGGCTTCTAGTTTCATAAGTGGCAACTAGAGAATTATTTTCAAAATCTGTTAGAGGGAGCAGCAGCACGGCCTCCCCTGTTCCAATTTGGGACAAAATTTTTATCTTGCTTAAACACAGTTGTTCCCATGGAGTCCTTGGTGTTCCCTGAGCTTGGCTGTTTGCCAGCAGATATTTCTGAGCACAGATGATGTCGGCCAGTCAACAAAGGTTTGTGAGGAAACAACCAAGCTCAGAAAGCGTGAAGGACCCCACGGTCCTCCTCCTTCCCCTCTTCTCCTCCACTCTGCAAACTTCACTCCCTTCTAGCATGGGTGACGTTCCCTAGTTGGGTCATAAAACATTTGCAAGAAAAAACATCCTGACAGTCTTCTTCCTCCTTTCCATAAAATCCACTCCCTTCTAGCCCTGATAATCTTACCTAGTAGGGTTACAAAATGTCTGCAAGAAAGCCACCAAGCTCAGAGAGCACCAAAGACCCCACAATCCTCCTCCTCCTCCTGTCAACAAACCCCACTTCCCTCTAGCATTGATGATGTTACCTAGTTGGGTCATGAAACGTCTGCAAGAAAGCCACCAAGCTCAGAGAGGGTCCCACAGCCCTCCTCCTCCTCCTCCTCTCTACAAACCCCATTCCTTTTTAACACTGACGATGTTACCTAGCTGGGTCATGAAATGTCTGTAAGAAAACCACCCAGCTCAGAGAGCACCAAAGACCCCAACATCCTCCCCATTCTCCTCCTCCTCGTCCATTCCACAACCTTCACTCCCTTTTAGAGCTGATGATGTTACCTAGTTGGGTAATGAGCAACAAACACCAAGCTCAGAGATCACCGAGGACTCCAAATCCAACCCTGAACTACAAATATTCTCTTTCATTCACAACCGGATTACAGTTTTTTTCATTCCTGCATTTTTCCTGCTTGGCATTAATGGGCAGAATATTCATTTTTATAGCTGTTATTCTTCCTGTTGTAAGTCCTTCCTTTTTTCCAAGTCCTGTTTAATTCACCTCGTCAGTTTCAGATAATTGCCCTCTTTAAGTGTTGCACATTTCGCTGTCAACTATATAACTAAACACTTTTTAAACTATCTGTGTATTTATTCTTCCCATCAAAATTCGCTTTGTATATCTGTAAAATTCTTAACGAAGATCTTCGTCTTATCCTTGTTTATTTTCCATTATTTCCGCTGATGCCTCTCCGTGATTCCCCCCCAATTGCTACGAGTCACACAATAATCTTCGCAGCAAGATACTCACAAATTGTTAGCTTTTCCAGCTTGGCAAAAGTGTTGCTGAGATCCTTCCCAATCCGCCTGAGAATGACAAAGAGACGGGGCCGTCAAATACAATACCAAATTTGCAATATTGTTCGCTACGCTGAATTATCTTTTTTTAAAAAAATTTTTATTTTTTTATTTTCAAAACAAACACAACACCTAAGATCTTCCTTCCTTACATACTGTAGAAAGTGTATCAGTTGGTTACAAAAGGTTTCCGTGCATCTCTTCCACAGTCATCAAG